TTGTATTCACTGGTTATAAAATAGGTTAATTAAGACAAACTCACAAATTGAATACCATCGGTCCCTTGGTGTTCGTCCTAAAGAGGTTCGACTGGATATCATTCATACTCACCAAAATATATGTAAGATTTTATTATCATGGAGTGCCTTGTTTATCTCTCAGTATCAGTACCTCCAACCATAGCCTTGACCCTTTTATCCTCAGGATCAGGGTAGTTGTTGGAACGAGGTGTCGGACTCAGCAATGTATTTGTTTACATTTTAATACATGTATATTGTTCCTCCTTTGCTGTGTTGTTTTAGAAAATCGTGGACTAACAGTTTGAAGTCATTGAACTACTTCCAAAAGTTGTATCGACATCAACAGGATAACGATTTCAGTGCAATATGATGCAGGATGACCTTATCACGATAACCCATGATTATAAACCAAAATATACACAGAATCAACAAAAACATCTGCGACACGCACCTGGCGCATGGCTACATTTCTCAAATAAATCTGATCGAGGGTGGGGAAATCTGAACTATCTGAAAGGCAAGACAAATTTATGACAGAGTCATGAAATTCTGCAACATCAACATGCACAGAATGACCTCCGTATAAAAAAAGTATCACCACCACTACTCACATGTTTCCCCGCAGAAGAACAACATGCATTATGCTAGTGCCATTTTCTGCAAGAAAAGGCTTGCACATCAATGCGTATAATACGGTATTGATATGCTCAAGAGTACATAAACCTCTTGATATGATGTGAAGGCCATCATTCACATAATATTGATATAGGGCATTCCATTGATTGGTGACAGAAAAAACAAAAGAAATTATAGCAATAAAAACTGCTTTATGGCAGTTTTCTAAAAAAGTTATTGTGTTCTAGTCCATGGACCCCGTCTAAAAAGTAAGAAATTAACGAAATGTGATAGCTGAAAATTAAAATTTCACACAAAACCTCACAATAATCACACACAGAATTAAAAGCTACATGTAGAAGACCTTTTCCCCTCGTGATCCTCTTTACTATGCATGCATGTTGCCAATTGTTGGTGCAGTACAAGTTAAAGTTGAAAGCAGCATTTCAAGTGTTGTGATTATTGTGAGGTTTTGTGTGAAATTTTAATTTTCAGCTATCACATTTCGTTAATTTCTTACTTTTTAGACGGGGTCCATGGACTAGAACACAATAACTATTTTAGAAAACTGCCATAAAGCAGTTTTTATTGCTATAATGATAATAGAGAGGTTAAGATGCACGTTATTTCCGACGTGACGCGCAATTTCACGTCAAACTTGGCGTAAAACTCCAAATTTCGACGTGAGCAGCCGGTCACTCGCGTTGATTTTTCGACGTGCGAGCAAACAACGCGAGCTGAACTTTTGCGTCACGTCGGAAATAACGTGCATCTTAACCTCTCTAATAGGGAGGTTTCGCTCTACGGAATTACGTATGAAAATAACGTATGAACTGCACGGAATTTTCATACGTAAAAATCAGAGCTGTTGGGTTTCGCTCTACGTGATTTCTCCACGACTGCTCAACATGCGTTGTGGTTGGAGACGTGTTGGCTGCATGCGCCCACCGCATGCACCATGAACCGAAACCGCGTTTTCCATGATATTTTGCACGTGGTGTACGGTGTGTGTATACCTTGTGTTTCGCGCGGCTTGAATGTTGCCATGCGGAAAATGCGAAAAAATAGTTCAAAAAGTCCTACGGAGGACCCAACGTAGGAAAGAGCTTTCCTACGGAAATCCGTAGAGAGATTTACGTATGAAAGTTGCCCTCGCTCCCCGGCGCGTACGACATACGGATTTTCATACGTAATTACGTAGAGCGAAGCCTCCCTATTACCGGTATGCAAACGAATGATACCAGAGGCAGAGAGTCACTGCTGACCAGCCCTCAGCGTTCACATACTTTTGTACTAAGTCTTACTCCCTGGTAGTATCCTGCTAGCAAGCCCAAGAGTACATACAATGTAGTAAAAATACCGTGGCGATACGGTGACCATGGTAACCCAGGTCGAGCACGGGGGTCCTTCCAAGAGTACTACCTTGAAAACCAGAGTGTGCAGCTCGGATGGGTTGCTGTCACCATGATTACATCATATTTGTGATGTAGTGCGTACAAGCAGGATTCAAGCAGGTCTCTTTCTGCACAACTGCAGCTCAGTTGTACGCACTACGCCATTTCCCGCCTCAGATCTGCACCAAATATGACGTAATCATGGAATTCCGCCGTGACAGACACCCATAGTCGAAAAGGCCACAAGCTGCACACTCTGGTTTTCATGTACTCTTGCCAGTCTTGGTCCTTCACACCAATGGTCTTCGCCGCAAACGGCAAAATCGCTCCAGGAGTGTTCAAGCAATGAAAGAGCTAGCACACAGATAGCCCTTTCCCACAGATGCTAAAATATTCCGCAACTTTTGCTTCAAGTTCGCAACCATGCCAAAACAAGTGAAAGTTGCTGAAATCGCGTCCATATGTTCAGAAAAAGCTCAACACACACACACACACACACACACACACACACACACACACACACACACACATTTAGGCCTTCAGACGCCCGTTGCTGGAAGTGATGAGAGCGATGCTATAGCAGAAATCAGAGCATCTTGTGCGGCCATTGCCCAATGAAACAACTGGCGAAAGTAAACGTATGCACACACACGCACTCATGCTCGCGCACGTACGCACACACACACACACACACACACACACACACACACACACACACACACACACACACACACACACACACACACACACACACACACACACAAATCCACTAGAGCAGGATCAGATGATATGTGTGAGTTATCTGTCCAGCAGTTGTGCATATCACGAACCAAACAGAAACGTTCCAGGCCGTTCAAATCAGTGCTCAATGCTCAAAGGCCAGAGCTAGTTATAAGAAGTAGAGGATGAAATAAAGTTCGCAACGACTCTGACTTTCATGCCGCTAGGTGATCATCAGAATGATGATCTTGAGTATCACGCGGATCTCTCTCTCTCTCTCCCCCCCCCCCCCCCCCCCCCCCCCCCGCCCTCCAATCCACAGAATCATGAAAATGGTATTGCTCAAGTCTAAAGTTGATTTGATCAAGATGAAGGTCAAGATGAATAGAACGGTGTCGGCATGATTTTGGCTCTCGCCATTGTCACTGGAATAGCATGTTGCGTCTCAGCTTCTGCTGATCAGCATGCATGCCTCTACCGAAAAGAAATCAGCTCAATATCGTGGCTACAGATAAGCTGCCTACTGCCCCGGTTGGCTGCCCGCACCGATCCGCCGAAACACAAGATGCCGTCGTCGACAGCCAGGAGGTTAACAAAGCAACATTGCGACTGCAGTGCTGCCACCTCCACCCAGGCACTGTTGACGGCATCGTACACCATGACGGCACCCACGATCTCGCCGTCCAGGGATACACCTCCCACTACGAGAAGGGTATCGTTGATGACCATGGGACAGCAGGCTCGATACGGCACGCGTTCGATCTTGGAAACACTCCAGCCGGGACAAGCTGGAAGTCTTTCCGCATCTTCCTCTTCGTCTCGGCCGTTTTCGGCCACGCAGAGATGCGTGCCGGTCGAGCTTCCGAGGTGCACTGTCATGGGGTGTTCTTCAGTGGTTGTGGCGTGGCCTGTGTTTGCTGAGCTGTCACTACACACATGAACGGGGTGTAGATCAGTGGTTGCGTCGTGAGTCATGCTTGCTGAGTCATCACTACACACATGAATGTGGTGTAGATCAGTGGTTACGTCATGGTTCATGCTGGCTGACTCGTCACTACACACAGGAATGGGGTGTAGATCAGTGGTTACGTCATGGTTCATGCTGGCTGACTCGTCACTACACACATAAACGGGGTGTAGATCAGTGGTTGCGTCGTGGGTCATGCTGGCTGACTCGTCACTACACACAGGAATGGGGTGTAGATCAGTGGTTACGTCATGGTTCATGCTGGCTGACTCGTCACTACACACATAAACGGGGTGTAGATCAGTGGTTACGTCATGGTTCATGCTGGATGACTCGTCACTACACACAGGAATGGGGTGTAGATCAGTGGTTACGTCATGGTTCATGCTTGCTGAGTCATCACTACACACTGTCATGGGGTGTACATCAGTGGATACGTCGTGGCTGGTGCTGGCCGACACAGGAATGGGGTGTCGAGCGACGTGTTTGAAGCTCGGTGAGCCTGCGCATTGCACTGGAATACTGCGGTCTTCAGTGGAGACATAGTGGGCGGTGCGGTATGATTCCCCAATCGACACTTGAACGGAGTGTGCCACAGTGGATAAGTCGCGTTCGACACTTGCTGAGCCTTCACAGCGCGCTAAACGGGGACTGTCCAGTACGCTAGCGTTCACAGCCTGGCTGCTCCTCCATGATTCTTCACTGGACTCCGGACTGCTGCGTTCTTCATCGGATATAGGGATTGGCTGAGACGCTGCGCCATCCGTGCATGCTCTGGAAAAGAGTAACTCAGCTCCTTCTGCTGCAGCTGTTGCCGCCTGCTCCGTTTGTGGACGGAGTGTTTGCAAGTCTGTGCACTGTACGCTTGCTATGAGCGTCACTTCAGCTTCTTCTGCCACATCAGCTGTAGTTACCTGCTCCAGTTGTGCATCGCTGAGCGTCTGAATGGTCGCTATAGGAATGGCGAATACCGGCGTGCAGTTGAAGTGTTGCGGCCGGTCGTAGCCGATAATGCAAAGACTGTCGTCATACTCAACAAGGCAACCTCGCTTCACGGTGGTCGGCAGCAGAGGCAGCGAGAACCAGTCTTTGGCTTGGCCATCTCCGCAGGTCAGTTCAACGCACTCGACGGAATTTGCCGCTTGGTGAGTCGGTGTTGGTTGCCCTTCACGCTCATGGCCACCGGCCACCACAACCCAGTTCCGTATGAGAGCGGAGCCGAAATTGTAGCGCTCATGCCTGAACCGTATAACAAGTTGCCATCTAGTTTGTGACTGACACTGTGTGTTGAAGCTCCAGATCTCCGGCCGAGGACTCTTCCTCGCTTGGATGCTCGAAGAACTCGTCCTCTCCACACACCTGGTGACGATGCAGTAGAGGTAGTCGCCAAACGAGTGCGTGTGAACGCGACTCGTCCAGGTGCCGCTGCCACGCTCGGGCAGCGGAAAACGCTCCCAGCTGGCCGGAGACGGGTTCCCTACGGGCGCCCTGAGCAAGACGGTTTGCCTGCTGTCAGCTACCTTCCACAGCGCGCTGCGGTAGATGTAACCATGGTGTATGCAGGGTGTGCCCGACGCCAGGCTCACCTGTGGTGGCAGCTTACCGACGACTGACACATGAGCCTACAGAACAGGGAGGAGAATGAAAAACATCACAAAGACGTTGGGCTTACGTGACAGAAATCGACCGCTAGCTGCTAGAGTCCGGTATACTAGTACACGACACAGCGAATGTACGCAAACAGGCAGCGTCTGGCATACGCCACCCAGAGAGATTGTACATTGCGGATGCCAGCGATGGGTATACATGATGAAGTACCCCCAGTCCCTCTATCAGCCACGGCTATCTGTACTCCTGCCATCGCTCGGCCGCCAGCCATGCAATGGTCATAAACGAGTGAGTGTGAAGTCAGTCCTGGCGCACGGTCACCTGCACCTGTCCCGCCTGAGCGGGTCCAGTTGGTCAGGTCATCACCAGACCAACTTGATGGCCACCAACACACAGTGTAATATTGTCGACTGCTGAGGAGGTCATGTGTAAAAAAGTAAATTATCGTGTCCGTTCCCGAAGGGAACTCACGACGGCCGCTAACACCCGGTAAACCCTAGCGGCAGATGCAGCGCCTAACGGTGGGGGTGCGTGGATAAGTCTCACAACCACTGGCACAAGTGCAGGAGGTCATGTGTACCTACTACTGTATAATTATAAATTATAATGCACAACGTATGAAAAGCTAGGGTATGGCAAATCAAATCAAATCAAAACTTATTCCTACGGTCCTACCTTAACGATGCATGTGCGTAAAGCGATGTACACAATTTTTTGGGACTTTTGTATAAAAATGTTTCACGATCACCAATTTATAAGAATTTCAGAATCATACTACACTGAAGTGCCGATTATCCGCACAGTATAAGCCGCACCCAGATTTTTAGTCACGAAACACAGACGTCCACCCCGTTTACCGCCGTTAGTTTAACCACCGCAGTACACGCCACACTGACTTTTTCAGCGGTGATGTACTGCAATGTCTGAAGTGCGGCTTATACTCCGGAAAATACGGCACAGTAAAACTTGTCAAGGCCACCACCTGTCCCAGAGGACCACAACGATTAGGACAAACGGATGGTATTTCCAGTCAACTGACCCTGGACAAGGGCGACCACCTGTCCCAGACCAGAAGACCGCAACAACTAGGACCATGGGATGCTATCTCCAGTCAAATGGTCAGGGATAAGAAGATCACCTTTAAACGGCGACCACACGTGTAAGTTTTCTTCCATTCTACGTAGGCATGTGCACTTTCATAAAAAAATAAAATAAAACGAGAGATCTTGGAAGCTCAGGGCACTACGCTATGCTTTTTTTGCCTTGATGACCTAGACAAAAAAAATAGGGATGTTATAAATTCTTTAAAAAATTCCTTTTTTTAAAGACATAACCTGGGATTCGAACCCGCACTATCGCGCGCCCTGCCTGCATCCCCGATACACTTCGCATACATACTAATTCTTCCAAGTTGCTTCACATTGTGATCTTCCATTTGAAAGCCCTATTTGAATATGCATTGTGGCCAGCCGTCTTTGATGGTACGGTACGGTAGGGATAGGAAAGGGACAGGTACGATCGAGGGTAATACGACACCGTCTCCCGTACCGTACCGTACCATCAAACACAGCTGGCCACATACAGCTGCCCGCAATATTCAAATAGGGCTTTCAAACGCAAGATCATAACGTGAAGCAACTTGGAAGAATGGGTATGAATGCGAAGTGTATGGGGGAATGCATGTAGGGCGATAGTGCGGGTTCGAATCCCAGGATATGCCTGAAAAAAATAGGAGAATTGAAAAAAAATTTATAACATCAGGGGCATGCTCGGGCCCCCAACAGGGTACACGGGAGCCGAGGGGAGCCCCCCCCCCCCCCGGCAATTTTCTGCAATTCGTTTGCAACCTTTCTTGAATTTTAGAGCGTATTTGCATACATTACAATTGCAATTACCCAGATTGAATATTTTTGCGGGGTGCACGTGCCCCCCCCCCCCCCCCCCCCCGTGCCCATCGCCGAGCACGCGTCCGTAACATCCCTATGCTTTTTTTGCCGTCAGATACGGAATAGCGCCAGGCGTGACACAAACAAACAAACAAACACACAAATACCAAATTAAAGCTGTGTGGACCCTGGCTAGCGCCAGACGTTACTGAAGTAACGTCTTCTGCATAGCTACGGGAATGAAATAAAAAGTTCCCTTCAACAGTCGTGCACAATTTTAACTCGGATACTGAGCCGGTAAAAAATGTAAAAAAGAGAAGAAAACACATGAGAATGAGTTGCTGAATGTCTCAGTAGCCTGTCAGTTTCGTGCCCTATTATCGCACGTTCTGACTCTTTATCATCTTGTTACAGTCGTGGATAGTTGCTGCATAACTCGTTCTCATGTGTTTTCTTCACTTTTTTTACAACAGTCGTCTTCGACATTTTACATTGTACTAGTAAGTAGTAAAATGTGGCTTGTGAGCAGCAATGGTGAAAAGCAGTGATTGAGTGTGAGCCAGTGTTGCTCACAAACCACATTTTACTTACGAAGCTGCGTGATGCGTCCTACAAGATTTTAACTAGTAATAGAGTTTTTTTTTAATAGTGTACCTTGAGGAAAGGTTTGATCAATCGTTTTCCAGCCACTTCCAGTTGACCATCTCTCCTTAGCACCTTCCTCTGCAGCTCCTCGACGTTCTGCTCCAGGGTGGCGACCGTATCGGAGACGTGTTCATTGACATCCGACCAGGTTTCTCCCGCTCCGTGTTCACCAGTGGCCAGCTGCCGGAACACCCCGCCATGTGCAATGGCATGCTGTAACAGCGCACACCACAATTCAGGTATGACATACAAGGCGTGAATCGGGGGCACCAACAGAACAATAAAATAGGAAACTACCGAAATCTGAAGCTCTACATAAACTGCGCTATTAGGGAGGTTTCGCTCTACGGAATTACGTATGAAAACAACGTAGGAACTGAAAGTAATTTTCATACGTAAAAATCAGAGCTGCTGGGTTTCGCTCTACGTGATTTCTCCACCACTGCTAAATGCTGCTTTGGAAACGTGTTGGCTGAATGCGCCCATCCAAATGCGAAATATATTTCAAAAAGTGCTACGGAGGACCCAACGTAGGAAAGAGCTTTCCTACGGAAATCCGTAGAGAGATTTACGTATGAAAGTTGTCCTCGCTCCCCGGCGCGTATGACATACGGATTTTCAAACGTAATTACGTAGAGCGAAACCTCCCTATTTGTTCCTGTGGGTGGCCATAATTTCTGCTGCATGTGTGAAACCATCATTCACAAAGGTTTTGTTGAGGTGTCACGAACAAATTCTAGAACAAAAGGATTTTTGGTTACCGTAGAATCCCGCGGATAAGCCCATGTTCGCGCGTAAGCCCAGGGTAGTACGAATATCACAAAGCTTCGTCGTACAAGCCCAAGGGCCTAGGTCATACCAAGAGTCCATAAATTATGGACTCTTGATTATGTACGTAGAACATGTAGTTTTTTTTGGTTTTTGTACATTTCAACACAATCATCGGTTGTTTTTGTTTGCACAGTGGTTTTCAGCAATGTGCTTCTCACTTTCTTGGTACTTTTCAATAGCACACTTTTGGTGTCGGCATATAAGCCCATGCCCGCGTATAAGCCTACCGAAATGTCCTTGTGAAACAGATAGGCCCATGGGCTTATCCGCGGGATTCTACGGCGATGGGTTCGCCCCTTGGTCCAGTATTTGCAACGCGTCTGTCAGTTCCTGTGAGTCGAAAATTGATGATTCATTGTGGCCTGACCACTATGTACCGTATTTTCCGGGGTATAAGCCGCACCGGGGTATAAGCCGCACCGGGGTATAAGCCGCACCCCCCTTTTTTAGGCAAAATATTGACTAAAAGTTGGTATTCGGAGTATAAGCCGCACCCACAAACCAAGATTTTTCACACTCATTGACAAATGGCCTTTCTACAAATTTATTATGGTTATGGAGCTAAATACCATGTTAGATCAGATTATGAAGTGTTCGTGCACCACAGGTTGCTGCAGAGATGTTGGTGTATTGCTGTGTCGACTACAGATCACTCCATGTCATCTGCACTATCTTCAGTCTGGCTGCCACTGATGCACTAAAACTAGTAAAAGTGCCGGGATAGCAACACAGGCGCGAAGCTGAGTCGAATGACATGTCACATGACGTCAGCATGCATACTGATGTACATGTATGCTAAGCATTCATTCGCGCAAGCATGTTCGGTGTATAAGCCGCAGGGGCGATTTTGGTCCGATTTTTAGCGAAAAAAGTGCGGCTTATACCCCGGAAAATACGGTATGTTTCGTTGACGACTCATTCACTTTTTTTTACTAAGTACACAAACCGTCAGAAGGGGAAAAGACAAGACATTATACAACAAAACAGCAGAGAGAGTAGGGGCTGCAAAGCAAGCCTGTGCTGGTGAGGCAAGCCCACAACACCGACCTATGGTCTCGGCGTTAACGCGGGCTTGCGCACCATAACCTAAAAAAAGGGGTGATTTAGTGCGATTAAAGACAAGAGAAGGTGAGGTAGACTGGTTGAGAGGACAGAGAGAAGGAGAGAGAGAGAGAGAGAGAGAGAGAGAGAGAGAGAGAGAGAGAGAGAGGAGAGAGAGAGAGAGAGAGAGAGAGAGAGAGAGAGAGAGAGAGAGAGAGAGAGAGAGAGAGAGAGAGAGAGAGAGAGAGAGAGAGAGAGAGAGAGAGAGAGAGAGAGAGAGAGAGAGAGAGAGAAGAGAGAGAGAGAGAGAGAGAGAGAGAGAGAGAGAGAGAGAGAGAGAGAGAGAGAGAGAGAGAGAGAGAGAGAGAGAGAGAGAGAGAGAGAGAGAGAGAGAGAACTACATACTATCCACTACACTTCCAACTCGCAACACACAAAGTTCTCTGCTACACCGCGTACAGCGATTGGTTCCAAATTTTCACCCAAGAGGGTATCATCAGGGATATAGGAGAAGATACAAAGATGGCTAATATAACCCAGTACAGGTCCTCCCTCGTTATAACGAATCCGGTTAGTACATACACCCTGTTAGTAAATAGAAATCTGAAATCCCCTGGCGAAACGTGGTCTATACAACTGTTTACACGTCCGGTTACAACATAACTCGTTAGTACATCAAATTCGTTATAACGACCCTTTGCTCAGGTCCCCGGAGTGCCAAACCCTCAGTATAAGATAATATTGACCTTCCAGGATCAAGGCCAAAACATGCAGGATAAAGCAGAAAAACGCAAAGTATTCTATCTGTGTATTCGTCTACATGTACAGTGTACTGTATAGCAGGAAAGTTTCGGACGGAATTTATTTTCGTACGATTTCGTACACGGCCTCTTTTGTACTAAAATTAATTCCGTACTAAAATTTGTTCATGTGAAATTATGTACACTATATGCGTACTGCATGCAAACACGTGTATTTAGCATGCAGCACTGTACGAAAATATAATCCGTACGAAAGGTCGAAATTTGGCTTTGTCCGAAAATATTTCCGTCCGAAAATTTCCTGCTATACAGTATATGGACGATGTTTTGCATCCAAGGAAGAGCTATGTTGGAGATTTTTAATTATCTTATAACGAGTTGAAGCGTCGAAAATTTATGTTGTATCTAAAGTAGCCCAGGTAAGTACGAATTACTTCAGTAGTGCCTATTTCACCTGAATTAGTGCCTATTTCACCTGAATTAGTGCCTATTTCACCTGAATTAGTCCCTATTTCACCTTTAGCTGCAGGTCCTGTTACAAGATGAGTCTCGTTATAAGATAACTTTTTCGATGGCCCTGAGATTGTCTACTAACGAGGGAGGACCTGTACACGGATAGAATCCAAACTGCTCTTATGCAACAAGTCAGGAGAACCTGTACACGGATAGAATCCAAACTGTTCTTATGCAACAAGTCACAAGCTAGCGCTAGACCATTATAGTACCCTGGTTCGAGAGTTGTGACTGATGATTTTTTCTTTCTTTCGTGTCTGGCTTGCAAGTGTTGAGTTTCGGAGAGACAAGAGCAGTGCGAGGCATTTGGTCTCTAACTCCCACTGATCATATTAATTTTGACTGAAAATCGGTTGCAGGCAAAAATTTGTTTTGCAAGGTTCAGTGTGACAGTGTATACAGGCAGCAGCAGTACAGGCCGAAAATTTGCTGCAGCCCTGGGAGGCAGAAATATGAAGGGGCTGAACATTTGTAGACTTAGGCGAGACCAAAATAAAATCGAGATTCCCGGGCAGGACCCATGTGAAATTGGTGCGGGCGGGCGAATTTTTTATTTTTTTTTATTTTTTCCAATGTGTGTATGCATGCCATGCTGAACTTTTTTTTACAGTATTTTCCTGTAATTTTTATTAACTTTTCTTTGCAGAAAACAGGTACGCGATTTACCCATTCATTTTTTCTGTATTTCGGCCAACAATGACCCTGATCTGTACATCAGGGAGTCGTACAAGCCCGGGTTTGTGTGGCTCCACGTCACAAATCTACTCACATGATCAGTACTGTACATGTATATGAACTGTTAAAAAAATACATATAAAAATAAAAAAATTAGCTTTGGCTCGATTTTGGTGCGGGAGGGCCCGGGAATCTCTATTTTTTTGGTCTCGCCTTACAGTAGTTTGTAGCAACCTAAGTGTTCTGAGTGCACAATTGATGCCATTTACTGCTATTCTAAAGATAGATCATCAAGGTCTCACACCCCTGGTCAAAAGCGACAATGTCTTTTTTTTGTGTTTTTTTTACTTTTGAGGTTCTGCAAATCATGCCATGGTGGCGAGTCAGCAGAAACCACTATGGTGCGTTTCAAAAGTCCAGACCTCTGGTTTTAAATTACCGCGTTAGGCCAGCATCCATACCACATAAATTCGTGATCACTTTGTGCACAAATTTCTAACATTGGGCGTTTTTTATCCAATCACTTAAAAATTTATCTGAGAAAAATGCGTGAGCTGCCCGAGCAATTCCGAAGAAATTTCTCAAAAAGCTCTAGCCAAATTTGAATTATTCGAAAAAGTCTAGAGGTCTATCCATTTCAAACGCACTATAATGCTCGCTGTGAATACAGTGTGAGTCGCCGCGAGTGGTGAGTCGCTAGTGCGTCACTGTGAAGCGAGTTTCCCAACTGATACAAACGTTGCACAGTCACTGGACAATGCGTGCTCGTACGAAACTGCACCCACGAATGAGAGAAAATGCGCCTGACAAATAGCCAAAAACAGCAATGTATTCGCACGCCGTGGCCAGATTTAGAACACGACACACGTGTATCAATATGCGGCATTAGAATTCAGAACACTGCACATCGATCTCACGGCAGAGACGAAATAGACGTTGCTGTTCTAAAGTGCCACTTGGGTCGACCCTCAAAACGGTAAGTGAAACGTTCACGGCCATGCGTCATCGTCCGCAGGGTCATATAACATCAACCATCTACACAAGCATCCCATTCTTAGGCCTAATTTCTTTTTTTGAATGTCATCGCACACAAAGACAAGGGAGAACTTGCATTTTTCTGGTCTACAGAGTACGCGCGTACTAGCCGATGCACACTGGGAATGAGAACACAAACTGTGACGCGTAAATCGGCCAGTGCGCGTACTCTGACGACTAGATAACTACAGCGCAGACGATCTCATGACGTTCACATGATGCTCACACAAACGTGGGGACAGAACTTACTGGGCTGTGAGAGTGCCGGCTGCTTTCATCCTCCAGCTTAATAAGTTGCTCCATCAGGTGGCGGGCAGTGTATCTTTTATCTGGCTCATAATGCACACAGTCAGATATGATGCGGGCCAGAGGGTGCTGGCCGAGGTCTTCCAGTTCCCGGTTGAAGCGCTCCGCCCAGGATGGCTGTGCGGCCGGACGATATCGGACGCACATGGCCAGCATGCTGGCACCCAACGCGTACACGTCGGCGTGGCTGCCGTACATTGCGCGGGGGCGATCGCCACGGCGCTCGGTTCTCAACATGACCTCCGGCGCCGTGTATACGTCGTCGAGAGTACTGGCCGCCATCTCGGCACTGTGCGCGCCTATCGCTATGAAACTACTCGTTCCAAAGTCGCCCAGTTTCGCGGCCCAGAAAGTTCGGCAGTGGTGCTCTCCGCTACCACCACTGCATTCGCATGTTTGACCGGTGGGCACAGCGGATAGCAGTATATTACTGGGCTCCACGTTACGATGCAATATGTGCCGGCAGTGCAAGAAGCTCAGTGCGGAGGAAACGTGACGCGCAATCTGAACTTGCTCGTCGTGCCGCAGCGCCGGTGCGACTGCATAGCGCCGCTGCAGAGTGGTCTTTAACCTTTCCATGACAATGCCCGGCACGTAGAGTGTCTCCGGATCTTCTGACTGTATATGAAGGCCAGCAATCACAGCCCTGGGAAGGATGACTGTCCCCCAATACTGGACAATGAATGGGTGCCGAATCATGGACATTGCCTGCACTTCCTCCTCAAGCGCGTCCCAACAGTTGCTCTTTTCGTAGATTGGCCTGCTTTCTAGATTCCTTCCAACTTTTACAGCCACTGGTATACCGTCCCAATGTCCTGAATAGACGTCAGCAAAGGAGCCCTCGCCCAGCAGCTCGTTGGAAATGTGCATATTCTTGGTCAGGTCGGGTATTCCAGCACGCTGCAGCGTGTCCTGCCTCATCGATTGGAGAGACGCATCCCGAGCAACGATAGTGTTGGTCTTAGTGCCTCTAGCGGTGTGCCTCGAGTAGCGTTCTAGCGAACGCGGGTTGTTTGACGACCCGCTCATGGTCTCCATCGCGACTGTCGGTTCGCTTACACCTGATGTGCCTGCTATTGTTCTTTTTGTCGACGTGGACGAAATCGCGTACTCCATTTCAATCTCATGGCGCTGACTGTCATTGTCAGGTGCCGCGGCATACGTAGTTGAGACAATATTAGGCCCTAGAGTCCCAGACAGAGCTGAAACATTGCTGGTAGAAAGCTCCCTGGGTAAAGGCATCGAGCTTTGTTCTCTGGACTTCACCCACAATGAACAGATAAATGAATAGCATAGCTAGCCGGTCAGGGAAGAGGTAAACTGCCGGATAATAATTTTAAATAATAAAAAATGCACAATGCATGGCAAAATGAATGAAAATGATCGGTTTTCCCAAAAATACAAAAAAATACAAAACTGCAGTGCGTAGACGCGGGTGCTCGAATCAGAAACGATTTGACAGGTGTGCAATTTCTCATCTGTAAATCTCAACAATGGCAGAATATACTTTTGGAGAGGCGATGGAACAGGGAAGAGAGTCTGGCTTGACCCACCCAGCAGGAATTCAGAACCTGGGTGCGCTACAACACAAGCTACAGACGCAGTAAAATTGTCGTATTTCCTTCGGATTTTTTATTTGAAAATTGGGTGCTCGAATCAGAAACAGCGAACTCGTCAGATCGTCTCCGATTCAAGCACACGGGTCTGCCATCGTCTACGCTTGGTGTGGCAGTTGAGGGCAGGGAGTAGTAACTTACTACTTCATTTTTGAGAGCAAGATGGTCAGTGGAGCCGCAGATTCAGCAGGTCTTTGGCAGCACCGTACAGGAGACCCATATCCTCGAATCAAGGACCCAGCAAAAAGTGGGTCGCGAGTATTTCAAAAAGTGTTTACCGGGCAGCGCTGAAATTTGGCATACCGTTAGCAGGCCGTATGTTGATGGTATTTGTGAAAACTAAACGAAATCGGAACAAGTTTAGGTACAATTTCAGGGTGTTTCTGTTTTGGTACCCTGTGTCTCATTCGAGCACCCGGGTCTATGCGTGGTCGTGTAAAAGAATACTACAGTCCATTCATAACAGACTGCCAGCGTATTCATGTATTATGTATCTAATATGTATGTATTATCGCACCCCACGTGAGTGTCTCCATGGTTTGAGCCAATCAGCGGCCTTACTGAGCGTGCAATATTCCCCAGTACACCGCCAGCCAATGACTATGTGGATGCACTGCAGTGCGATATTGCACCCCGGCGAGTGAGCGTGCAAATAACCTATATTTGCACGCTCACTTCGAAGTGAGCGTGCAAATCCGCGATATTCATGTTAAAACAAAATGGCGTCACGATTTATTGAAAGTGGTATAGTTGGTGGTACGAGTGTTCAAAACCATTTGAACTTCATACTGTTCGTCTTCTTTTTGACATGCTCTCTTTCCATCGTCCTTAGCTTTTGTTTGTTGAGAGCTGTTTTGGCTTTCTCCTATACCTCTGGGGGATGCCAAGTGATGGATTTGAGAGGCTGGTGATGGCTGTGAGCGAGAGTTTGCCGATCGGCGTCGTCCTCGCTATAGCGATGAAAATACTAGTTACTGCGCACCTGGCAGATATCACAACACGTCGGAGCGTCCAGGAGCAAAGGAATCTTGGGTTTTCACTGGAATCTAGTTCCTCCAGCATCGTGTAGCCCACCGTCGGTGAATGGCGGTCCAGAAAGGTCGAAACTGGTCTTCTGCAGCATCTCGCAGTCCTGCGAGGCACACTGAATACGCCTGTCATGTATTCTACAAATAAAAATCACGAAGTAGTGGACTTTACAGTGATGAGTCTATCCTGTATGCTGCAAAAGACGCAGGAAATGTGACTGGTGTCCGTACACTGGACGCCAATAGGCAATATCATCCCAGTCTTCTCCTGCAGGATCTGTTTGACATTGACATTATGCAGTAGGTCGGCATTGACCTGGTTTGGCAGCTATCGTAATGGTATCTGCCTGGTTGGATGTAGCAGGTTGGTGTTTGCTCGTCGTCCAGTCCGGAATTTTCTTGTAACTCACGGTAGAGTACGCGCAGGGTTTGTGATCATCCCTGTTCACTTCAATATTATCAAACACAACGTTCCCTTTGTCACTCATCTTATCCTGAGTACTGAATTTGCTGACAATATTGCACCACACTTGTCACAACCTACCGCCACTGCTGGCGGTGGCGGCTGGTTCGTCAATGGCGGTGACCAGGCTGACTGACTAGCTTCGAGACAGCGGCCTCGTTGTCAACCCCGCGGCAGCCTAAAGGTTGATTTTATCGATCCAGCCTCAGCGCCATGTTGACGATGCCCTAGTGACTGTGTGTCATGGATTGCCTTGCCATCAGCGGTCATTGCTGTCCACCTTGATGCAGCCCTCAACAACTGGCTCAGCCCATGGGAGTCTCAAGTGGACAAAGTTGTTGCCAAAGTAGCTCAGAAGATTGGTGCATCGTGGTGTGGGTGAGCACATAACTAGGACTTCCCAGCGCCTATTTGTCCAGGCTGCGATACTATGTGACATGCTGTACTGCACATTCTTTTCAGCACTGCAAGGCCGGCAGCTGGACCGACTGCAGGGGCAGCGCACATGCAGGCCGCCTGTTGCCAGTGCAGCATTCTGGAACGTTCCTTCCTTCTGAGATCCGTGGAATAATAACTTTCTTTGCTTCAAAGCAAGTTGCTTACCTTTCTGTTGTGCTCCCAGTGTCCTTACAACAATAACCTACAGCAATGTTTTATTTTCCTTTCCATTTCCCAACCAATGAATACTACGATGTCGATTCTATTTCTTCATACTTTGGTGTGTGCCCGCGCACGCACGTGTGTGTGTGTATACCTCACTCGCCACTCGAAGTTCTGTTCCCCATCACTGGAACACTGCCTGTTCTTTCAGGACCTGCCATCATCTGCGGATGGGCATTCAATGATTGTATTGTGTGTGTGTTTCATTCAGAATCAGATCCGCTATCGGTGCTTAAAGAGAAAATCTGTGGGTTCACATCCAGTGCATTTTTAGATTTGCGTGCTTTTCTCGCCACGGGCGCATACATGGGACATTGTGTGTGTGTGTGTGTGTGTGTGTGTGTGTGTGTGCGTCTGTGTGTATGGGGATATTGTCTGTATCGGCTTTTGGTACTAATGTTTAGGTCTGTGCTTGCATGTGTGAACATGAAATTGTTCGGTTCTGTGCATGCTATTGCTATGTTGTATATTATTGTATGTATGTGTGCATTTCCACGAACAGTGTAGACGAGCGTGGAGAGTGCATTCATCCCTCATCAACCACTTCCCCTTGGGCTTACGAGAGTTTTTTGTCTCATTTTTGTTTGTTTCTCTCTGATACTGTATTGATGCCGGTACCTGTACCTCGATGTGTTCCTCTATCTGCAGTTGCCTTTAACCTTCGGTCAAGTTAACGTTTATTGTGCTCTATTTATCGTGCGAATCAAAATAAACAATAATAACACAAGTCGTGCTAGAGTGACGACATGTGCGTGTAGTAGGGTTGATGCGATGGGACGTTATAATTAGGTGGAACAGAACACACATTGGGCAGATTGATTGGGCATCATTGACTGTGCTCAGTCTAAACAGTGAACATAATAATTATCTCCAGTGGCAGACTGTAGCGGCTAGCCTCCAATAGGTAGCTGGCACTAGTCGCTACTGCTTGTTTGACAGGTGCCGCCAGAACCCCTGTTGTGTCATGCTATAGATGCACATGCCCTGTTCTGGGGCATACTGAGGTACTTTGATTTTGTTGACTGCATGTAGACAGCATCCAATAGTAGTACTCGTAGACCTTGGCTCTTTGTAGGTCAACCACCATCGCATGGATCGATCGGTGACTATGCACTTGGAGGTTGGAATAGCCCGCGCTGAACAGATCTTGCCATGGCCCAGGGAGTGAACTCGCTTACTCGACTATCCCGGTTTTAGTTAACCAGCATGAGTGGTGCAATTTGTCCATACCATGTTGCGAGCTCACAGTTGTTTGGGCAGGTTTTGAGCTGCACCACGAAACAAAGCGAAATAACGGCGTGACTGTAGAGCAAGGAAGCGGCGAGACGGCACTTCCAGGACGAGACAGGCAGTAGAGATGTGTTCACAGCACGAGCAACCTCTCAAACCCTGCCGGTACTCCACAGTTACAAGAAAATGTCGGACTGGACGACGCGCCAATGCAAACCTGCTACATCCACCCAGGCAGATAGCTGCCAAACCAGGCCAATGTCGACCCACTGCATACCGGTATGTCGATGTCAAACAGATCCTGCAGGAGAAGACTGGGATGATATTGCCTATTGGCGTCCAGTGTACGGACACCAGTCACATTTCCTGCGTCTTTTGCAGCATACAGGATAGACTCATCACTGTAAAGTCCACTACTTCGTGATTTTTATTTGTAGAATACATGACAGGCGTATTCAGTGTGCCTCGCAGGACTGCGAGATGCTGCAGAAGACCAGTTTCGACCTTTCTGGACCGCCATTCACCGACGGTGGGCTACACGATGCTGGAGGAACTAGATTCCAGTGAAAACCCAAGATTCCTTTGCTCCTGGACGCTCCGACGTGTTGTGATATCTGCCAGGTGCGCAGTAACTAGTATTTTCATCGCTATAGCGAGGACGACGCCGATCGGCAAACTCTCGCTCACAGCCATCACCAGCCTCTCAAATCCATCACTTGGCATCCCCCAGAGGTATAGGAGAAAGCCAAAACAGCTCCCAACAAACAAAAGCTAAGGACGATGGAAAGAGAGCATGTCGAAAAGAAGACGAACAGTATGAAGTTCAAATGGGTTTGAACACTCGTTCCACCAACTATACCACTTTCAATAAATCGTGACGCCATTTTGTTTTAACACGCATACGGTCCATAGGTTATTTGCACGCTCACTTCGAAGCGAGCGTGCAAATATAGGTTATTTGCACGCTCGCTTCGAAGTGAGCGTGCAGATAGGTTATTTGCACGCTCACTCGCCGGGGTGCAATATCGCACTGCAGTGCATCCACATACTCATCTGGTCATTTGCTGGCGGTGTACTGGGGAATATTGCGAGTCGCTCCGCCAAGCAGTCGCTGCTGACTTGCTGCAGCACACCAAATAATAATTGGTCGAGGACGCTGTCGCGGAAGCGAATGTGGACCCGGCTTGCGTCCGCCAAGCCAACTTCACAAGCTCCGTGAGAGTCGAGACAGCAGACGCCCAAGTATTGGAGAAGACTGTCGACAGCCGATTTGAGAAACTGTCCGACGCCGCCATCGACAGCCTCGTTTCT